AATGTTTCAAACTCTTTGAAATACAAATAAAAGCTTAAAATATGGGAGATGTGTGGTATGTTTACGATGGGTGAGAAGAGGAAGGTTGGAGCAGTAATTTCAGACATGCAGTAACTGAAACTGCAAGTTTAGGTCCCAAATCTCTCATTCTCTTTCTCCTGGGACGGACTCACAGTTGAAAATGATGTTTTAGGTGGCAAAGGTGGTTTGGGACTGACGTACAGGATGTTTGAGCATGCGATACAGCATTGCCTCATACTTTATTACCTATCCCAAATAAAAAGCCTTGCTGTTTTATTGCTTTGCACATTGTGTAGTCATTCATGGTGGTATACAAACAGCTGCTTGTCTTATTTTTTGCTGGTTTGCCCTTTGATCTGCCTTTGCATGATACAAATAGCTGTGCAGTGCCAGGAGCAATACGTGGTCCATGGAAAGCCAGCAGCCTATGCCTGAGAGAAAGTGAAGTCAGCTGGTCCTGGAGTATGGGCATCATAAATACCAGCACTTCAGGAATCAAATGTTTGGCAGCAGCTGGTACGTAAATAAGTGCAGGTATCTGTCTAAATTGAGGAACAGTGGAGAAAGCTTAGTTATTTTTAATGATTCCTCTGTATTTAGGTGAGATTTGGGCTACACAACCCATATTTCTCCTGCCCAGAAAAGCTGTAAGAGTCACACTGCAGCTGCCGTGTCTGGTGTGGGAGTTGCTCTTGACTATCAGGTCCTTCAGGCTGTTTTGCTGGGGAGGCACTGAGGACATCTACTGGGACTGCTGCTGGACACTGAATTTGGGATATTTGTGTGATGCACACACACTTCTGTCATGCTGCAAGGACAGCATTTAGGCAGCTCTGCAACAATCTCTGAAAGGAGTATGCAGGAAGGCATGTGTTTCTGTGCCAAAATCTGCTTTGCAATGGAGGGTGGTGCATCAACCAAGCCCAAAGAGGTGGGAATGTGCACAGGAAAACTGGAAAAGAGTTACAAGGTACTCCAGTCCTTGGATGAGTTTGCTTGAAGGTTTAAAATAACTGCTTCTTTTATAAGTCTGGGCACTTTCAAGTCTTCACTTTTTCATTTTGTGCCATACTTCTCTGGTTTGGGGTTTTAAGGTCCTTAGGGACTGAGCTCTGGCTTGTGTTTCAGCTGAGCCCAGAGGGCAGGAAAAATGTAGAGTGTATTAATTGTGCATCGGATTTTCTCTGTGATGTTGTTTTTTCTCTAGAGATTTGGGAAGGGGAGCATTAGAAGCTTTTTTTTTTCTTGGCATACTGCTGATTTTAAAATGTATGCATTTCTCTTCAGTCTTTTACCTACAGATTGCAGGGTACTCTGAGGCCAAGAGCTAAGTGAATAAAACAATTTTGGGTATGGCCCATTCTGGAAATGTCTCCTTGAAATCAAGTCCTAGGCAGATCCATGCCCCAAGGAGGGTACAGGCAAGGGGGAGCACCAAAAGAAGTGACGAAATCCAAATACACTTGAGTGCTTTGATTGCCTTGCCTTGCTCCAGTGGTTCACAGCAGTCGGAGGTGCAACATGGGGCTTCTGTACATTGCTGGGTGGTGCAGAGCTGCCAGGGACATACTGAAGGAGTCTGGCCCTGTATTCATCAGGCAACAACTGACTTCCTAATTTCCACTCTAGTGAATCAGAGGGAAGAAGAGGGATAAAATAATGGGCAAAGAAGCGCACAGGGTTCAGTAACTGTGCAGAAAGGAAGGACATGTAAACAGTGCCAAGTTGAGAGAAAAGACAGGTACTGCTGTTCATTTCTGAAGACACTGCACAGATGTCTCTGGTGTGGAATGACAGGTAGCATCGGCAGTGACAGCAAGAAAAGAGAGTGGGGGAAAGTCCTGGTTTTCAGGCAACTGGAAACTTGAGTTCCTCACCTATTTTTCAAGTTTAACACAATACGACTGAGAAAGCAAGTGAATTAACACCAATTGGCAAAGAATTAAAATAAGGAAGTTGAACTGTAGCCAAACCAGTGAAAGCTTTTTAGATGTTTCTATCTATAAAAAAGATATTTATAATCACAAAATGTTTATTTTTTCACCTCCCTCCTCAGTTTGGCATGCTCTCTTCTTCCCTGCTGTAGCCTTTCATCAGAAAATTTGAACTTTACATCAAACACTGATAAAAAGAGAGTGTTTTTTTCTTCTAAAAAGGCATTTTATTCACTTTAATATTTTGGGGGGGAAAACAGTTGAAGCTAGAAGATTGGCAGAGTCGCAAGCCCAAGCCATAGAATTCCCTTTCTCTATACTTATAGAAACAGATTTGATCCAGCAAAATTATAAGTTATAAACAAATCTTCCATCACCCCACTGGTCACTGGCTGTGGTCAATTATAGTTTTGAAGCTGGCATATAAGTATCAGATGTTTGGCTATTGTGTGTCTTTGCTAATCTCCAACCCAAGTGAAACCCTTTGGCATGATACATCCTAGAATTTGTTACGTTTTCTAACAATGGCACATTTTGCATTTCATTTGCGCTTTTCCATCCAAGAACCTAAGAATATGCTCCCCTCGCCAAAGAACAGAGTAATTAATCATCAGGGCTGTTTGTAAGGAAAAGGCCTGGCTGTGGGAACAGAGTCATAGATAAAGTAGAGAATAAAATGTCTATATCCCACTGCATAAATCACTTGGAGAAATATTTTCTGTACATATTACGATTTTAAACTATTTGGATTTTATTTGTAAAATTATCATAAACAGGATTTTTTTCCCCCACACTTAAGGTGTGTTTTTGCAGAAAAATTATCCAATTCATATTTTAAAGATGCCATAAAGCTGTTTGTGCTCTGTTTTTTTTTTTTTGTTTTTAGAAATCTCTTAGAATATTAGATCATTTTCACATCTGTTTTCTGCAGGGAAGACTCTTCCAATTTTGTCTTAATTTCTACCCATTAAAATTATAAAGAATAATCTAAAAAAAATTGATAAATATTTCCGAGAGAGTACTTACTAAAATATGCAGGCAATCCTGCATTTTAAATCCAGGTGTTTGTACTTCTGGAGATCTGTACATCCATGGAATATAAATGTTGATCAGTGCACCAAGTGTTTAAGTGAGTCAGCCACTGAGTGATGGCAGGAGAATTTGAAGAGCTTGTTTTATAAGCTTTTGTTGCTTTTCATTCCCTACCTTTCTGCTTTAAGTTCTTCCCTCCCTTTTGCTGTGTCAGATGTCCTGCTCTTTTTCTCCAGGGCGCTTCCTCGTGAGTCGTGTTACTCGCTCATGACCTTCTACACATGCATGGAGTTGTTACAACCCTGGGACCAGAGCCAGGGCTGGGAATTACATCTGTTCCTGCTCCTTTGTCTCCAGTGTTCAAACAGGCTATCAGGAACTTTGTTCTGGCACTGCTGCTGTGTGCAGAGGATGATCCTGGTTTAGGTTGCTGTCTCATGGCCATGGTTGACAAGACTTTTGGTCTTGGTTTTCCCAGTGTATACCCCTGCTTTTTCTTTTGAATAGGCTCACTGAACCTGTGTCACCTCTCTCCTCCCAGAATGGGTGTTTTTAGGTCTGTGCTGCAAATATAGCTTGTAAACTGAACTGTTTGCAGGGAAGAGATAGATGTGAGGAGGGAATCCAGGATGGTTTGGTGAAGCTAACAAGATGTCTGAGAAGCATCTCCTCTCAGGTGAATTGCCTGGTCTTTCAGTGCTCCCAAGGCAGGGATGTTTGTGGGGCTGTTTCATAACTGAGATAAACAGGTTAAGGTAGCTATTCTACCCTGGACCTCCAACGTTATACCTATTGGCAGAATTATTGGTCAGTAGTGTTAGATGTTGTATATTTACTGAGCTGGGAAATTAAGCAAGTTGTTTTCTTGAAGAAAAACACTAAATACATACCTCTTCCTTTAATGTATTTTGCAAAGTCTTCTTGGCCTGTAAGGGCAGAATCTCCTGTCTGTGCTTAAAAGAAAAGAGTAGTAAAAACTAATGGAAAATACATATTTCCTACTCTGGCTTCTTTTCTAAGGTAATTGTTGCATATCATGCATTTGGACATAAGATGAAATTTAATCATCATAAAGAGGTAGAGTTCCATTGCCTGGGTCTCTACCTGTGTGTGTCCCAGAGGGACTGGGAAGATGATAGCCATTGTGAAGAGCATAACCATAGCTGACTGTTCCCAGACCTTAGGAAGGGAGCAGAGCTTGCTCTCCAAGCTGGACCAATGCATCAGTTAGTCAAGGATGGTAATGCAATGTTTGCTCTTGTAAATAAGTTCTGTTTTTTAGCGTGACAATGATTTTGATGAGTAAACTTATGCCCTCTATCTATTCCTGAGGGTTTAGATGTTGTGGCAGAAAGTGACTTTTGTGCCTGAATGAATGTGTATGTAAATCATTTTATTGTCAGTAGCTTTACTTTTGCCCTGCACCATAAAAATTCACTGTTCTAAGGGCTTCTTCGTAATGGGCTTTTGAAGTCCAAGCAGTTCAATTGCCAGGAGCTGTTACAAAAGAAATTCAATCAGCCCATCAATGACACTTCTAACATCTTGATACTGTCTGTTATTTTGGCAATTGACAGTGGAATTCCCCTTACAGGAAAATCCTGTAAATGTATCATCTGTCTCATATATAATTTTAAAACCAGTCTTTAAGAATTCTGAGATACCAGTAGATATCGTTTTCTAATAATTTTGTCTAGGTTTGGAGTAGTTTCTAGGAGGCTTCTTTGGAACCCTTTGAACTCCCTTTTGGGCAATCCTCCTAGGATTTTTTGTAAGAATTATCCCTCAGGTGATGTTGTAATTGACTTGGGGATATTCAGAAGAGCTAACAAGGGCCACTTCTGCACGAGTCATCTGTGACATTGAGTTACAGATGTTGGTTGTCTTCGAGCTCTGCACACACAGGCTGTGTCTTGGAATGTCCCCAAAACGATGGGGTGGTGCCACCAAAGTCATCCATGTTGGCTGAAATTACATCAGACTTCTCCTTTCTTTTTTTCCACTGTAGGTGTTCTCTGCCTGCCGGACAGCTTGAACCTTCACAAAGACCAGCAAAGGTCAAACAAGCCTGGGGAGGTGCAGATGTTCAGCCAGTCAGAGCTAAGGACCATCGAGCAGTCTTTACTTGCTACGCGCGTGGGGAGCATTTCTGAACTCAGTAAGTACAAGGCTGTCAATAACATTTGGATTTCTTTCCTGAAAGTAAGGCAAAGCCAATTGCATTTTCTGGCTCTGCAGAGGAGAGATGAGGGGGCATATGTAATGTTGAAGGAGGCACTGGGGCAGATCTAGCTGTGTTCATGCTCCATGGTTAGTTTGGAAGCTGAAGCCATAGGAGGAAAGAAGTCTTGTGCAGACTCATAGCAATGCCTATGGCTTGTTTGCATACATTGCTCTCAGTTTTAAAGGTGAAAGATGCTTTATTTCATCTTCCCTATGTTCTATTTGAGAGCACCTCACAGCTTGGCCAAACTTGCAAATGTCTTTTGTATTGGTGTCCTGTCTCATTTCAGTGGGATGTCTGTTTTGTGATGGCAGGCAAAAAGCTGGAGGCTGCAATAAGTACAGGAAATATTGCCACATGTTTAAGGCAGAGCTAGTTCCACGTGTGTTGGAGAAGATCCTTCACTTGCCTTTCCTTCTCCAGTTTCAGCAAAAGAAAGCCCCACAACTCAAACATGCATCAGAGGAATTTACTCTTGAAAGACAAATTATTTGCTATTAATCAAAACACTTTTTGAGAAATATGAGCATCTATGATATTTGTCAAAATCTGAAAACTTTGCTTTTGGCACAGATAAATGGTAGAAGACAAATCCCATGTGCATCCTTTTGTGACATGGAGATAAATTACCATAAGTGCTTTATTTAAACTTTTTTTTATTAGGAGAGAAGTGTTCCAATCATATTTGTAATCTAGTTAGATATAGAAAGCTCTGCGTGGGAAAACAGTACATTTAGACATATTTTTTTATGAGATTTGTGAGAAATACTGTTGACCATTTTTTTTCCCTGAGGTCTGTTATAAAATTTTGGGGACAAATTAAAAAGTACTCAAATACATGAAGATACAGGCTACCCAACTTACTGTTATTCCTATTACTGACTTGTGTGTTACCAGCATCATAAAGAACATGTATAGGGATCTGATGTGCATTTTTTTGGCACTTTCTGTAGCAATGCAAGTCTCCTCTGTAGGTCCATCATATCACCATGGCTCATTTTTTTGCTGTTCACGAGCCGTGTGGATGCACCATGAATGTTTGTCTACAAGCCACAAGATGAATTTCTGTTTTCAGCTTGCTAATTTTAATTTGCTCTGGTGAAACGTCAACAAGCCAAGAGCACTTACATGCCTTAGTGTGAAGTGTTGCTCCATCTCTGGAATCAGGTGTTTGGTGTTATTCAAATTAAGTGATTTATGCTCATTTATTTCACGCATATGAAACACACAACAGTACAATCTGTGTGCCAACTAAATTATGCATGATACAGCTCTCTTTCTTAAAAATACATATGGTTGGGTTTTAACAAATAAGTAATTTACGGATATTTCATGGTGGATGGAGGCTTTTAATTCTGGATTTTTCTTGGACCTTTGTACACAACCCAAAAAGCCAGACTCCTTAGTTAGAGCACCCTCTCCTCTTTTAAAATCTGATTTCTAGGAATCTGTAAGTGTCCTGCCTTACATTTGAATCTTTGGTTGATAGGGTTTGCTTTCAGTACATCTGTTGACTGCAAACACAGGCAAAACGCTCTTCAGGGTGGCCGGTTCGAAGAACAGAGCGCATCAGTGGGAGTTAGGTGCAGCTGTCGGAGACGTTGGCAACTCCGGCAGGCTGGTAGCCCTCCAGAAAGCCCTCTGGCCGACTGTCGAGGGATCCTCCCTGGCCCCTGCAAGCAGATGCATGTTGGGGAAGCAGCAGTGGGAGGAGTGGTAATTGGCAAAGCTTGCAAGGCTGGATATGCTCAATTGGGTAGAAATCTGTGCTGTGCAGCAGTGCTGGTGCAGAGTTCAAAACCAAGCTGTGAAGCGTGGAGGGAGGTGCAGTGTGTTGGTGGGCAAAAACCCTCTAATTTTGGAGGAAAAATCATGAAATGGAAGGAAAGTGGAGGGGTGAGGGGATACAACTAGGTTTGCTCTTTGCTCAGTGCTTGTGGGTCTGTCTCTGGCGGCAGCAGCAGCTGTGAGCCAGAGGTTACAGCAAAACTTCTTCCATGGAGGGTGGATGAGGAACCATAGCGTGGGGGCAGTAATGGAGAGCAGTGGGGGGAACACCTGGGGATCATAAAGGCAGGGAGGGTGTAGGCAAAGGAGGTTTTATTGCTGCCTTGGTGGTGTGAGGGGGATGGAGAGCTTTAAAATTGATGTTCTGGCAGGCATTGACATGGAGAAAGTGAGATATGAGGGAAGGATTAGATATGGAAGAGCCTCTGCTTTTGTGAGGATGAATAAAGGTGATGAGGGAGACTCTCTGGATGGAGGGAATTAAGAGGGTTAGTACTTGTGAAGAGGAGGAAGAGGTAGCAACCAGAACAGAGAGACAAGGACAGAAACTTGGCCTGTGGACCAACAGAGCGGGCAGTCCCCAGGCATGTGTCTGCAATGTCCCATTGGCTTGCACTATCCCAGGAGCCAGGATTTCACTTCTGTTCTCTTCAAAAGGGCATAAAAACCGTGGACAAAGACTGATCTTGCAATAAAGCAGTTTCATTTTATCTCAGGTAAAAAGAATATCTAAAAAAGGAGTTCTAATTGAAGGAGATTTCCTGTAGTTTATTGACATCAGTAATTAAAGTATTGCAAGTATGCAGAATAACTGGAATTAACAAGTGCCTGCTTGCGGAGGAAAGGCTTCCCCCGCTCTTGGTTCTACTCAGCATCTTTGCATGCAGCAGCTGCCGAGCTGCCGGAGGCTTTGAGAGCGGGAAGTCAGATCTGTCCCCTGAAAGACGACAGCTGGCAAACAGGGCCTGTTTTGTGCCCAGCACCTGTATTTCAGCTCACGTTGTCTTAATTTCTTCATGGTCTGTCCCAGGTGAAAAATCGATTCACAAGGTGAAAAGCCTTGCATCATTTGGTACCTTCACCTTGCCCTACTTGTGATGGCCTCCTGTGTCTGCACCCTTTGTTTTTTCATGCATTCTGTCAGTGTATTAGAAAAGACCATTTGGGTGAGCTGTGTCTCTCTGGGGGGTGACAGCAGGCAAGAGAATTTTGGGAAAAGGTGGGATGGCAGACGTGACCACAGAGAGAGGGCAGAACCCACTGGGAATGCTGCAAAGGAGGGTGTCAACCCAGGCTGCCGCTGGGGAGTCCTCATGGCCAGACAGGTGCAACTGGATTTGTGGATGCTGCTCTGGTCCCCTCCAAACCCTGCGTGCCTGGTGCTTCTGCTCTCACCTCCCAGGCTTAGCAGGTAGCAGGCTCTGGTCCTTGCTGGGACAGCCCTGCCCTGGCTGGTGGTGGCCAGGTGAGGTAGTGCCACTGGCCCTGGGGAACTCTCCTGAAAATAGGATGAAGAGGTGATGTTGCTGACTTAGGGGGAAAAAAAAATCAAAGGAAGGCTTCATCTCCAAGACTTTGGAGGAGAATGTAAATAGACACCTAATTCCACACCGCAATTACAGCCGTACTGCGTGATTCCAAGGCAAAGACTTAAAAAATTAATGTGAAACCTTATTCATTAAAATATAATGAACATGGCACAAAGTTAAGGAACGACAATAAATCTGGGCTATGTTATATTGGCATTTAGTATTCAGGAATTGTAATTGCCTACTACAGTGTGTTTTAAAATAATGTAATTTCATTTGAAATGCTTATTATATAGAGAACATTGGGAAGAACTGAAGCACAGCAAAAGTAATAGGATTTTAAACAGTAGCCTCATAGTATTTCACTGTTGAATCTTAGAGAAAATATTTCACAGGACTTTTTTTTCCAAGTTTTTTCCTGAAGTTTCCTGTATTTCTAGACCAGACCCAGAGGAGAAGGGGAGTAGATCTGTTTGGCTTTTTTTTTCATAAAGTTTTTGGGATTCATCTAGATTTATAATTCTTCTGTTTCATTTCTTCCCCCTTCAGATGGGGAAAAATAAGTAGACTGAATAGAAAAAGACAGCAATATTAGGCAGTGCTTTGGCTGTGGAGAGATCCCATGATACTGGCTTTTGACCTTTGAATATTTTTCCTAACTTCTTTATATGAGTGTTTGCAATCCACAAACATTTACGTTATATTTGACTGCATAATGCTCCAAGACACCTATTCATCATCCATCTAAAAATACCACTGCTGGCTTGGAGACCAAATGCAGAAGGGATGAGGCTCACAACTGAAGGTCGTTGCCATTTTGCTGGATGAAGGAGGACTCTTTCTCTTGCGTGTGCACGTAGGTTGTAACAAGGAAGAGCAGAGCCTTAAGGTGCACTGGGCACCAATCCTGGCACCAAGAAATTCTCCTCCCTCACTGTACTTTACTTGGGGTAAAGACGGATGAGCTGGGACAACCACCCTGTGCTGAGGGGCATATGTAGGGCTGTAGAAGGTTGTGTCTCTCAGGCATCACAGAGGGATAAACAGTGGCTTAGGATGTCATCCAAAGCATGTCTTCATGTATGTCTTCAGGTTAGAGCAGAAAACCTTTTGGGGCTTGCTTTGACTGCAAAGATGGCCAGTCTGCTATGGCTTTCCTGGGTGAGCAGTTTGCCACCCAGACTTGCACAAACCATTGTGACTGGTGGTGGTGGTATTACTCTGAGTGTTAACCACGACAAATAATCGTTTTTATTTTAAACTGTGATAATCTGAAGATGAGGATGCGACTTAACACTGCGGATCTTAGAGGTTTTTTGCCTTTGAATGGTGTTTAACTGAGAGCAATTCCCAGATGTGATGTTCAGGCTGGTATTTCCTCCCTGTCACCGCTCAGGTCTCAGCAAAGTTTCCCTTTTTGCCACTGGAAAAATGCCACCCTTCATCCCCTCTTTCCATTCCACATCATCCTGTCTTTGCCTCCGCAGTTCTGACTATATATTTCCAAAATAACAGCCTCCCAGTAGATCTTGGCTTGCTTTTAGGGATGAAAGGAAGGGTTACTGCTCAAGTGTAAGAAGGAATGTGATTGCACATACTGATACTGTTTTTCATTTC